GGTATACAGGGTATACATGGGTATACAGGGTATACTGGGTATACATGGGTATAAAAGGTATACAGGGGTATACAGGGTATACTGGGTATACATGGGTATACAAGGTATACATGGGTATACATAGGTATACAGGGTATACATGGGTATATGGGGAATACAGGGTATACATGGGTATACAGGGTATACAAGGTATACCGGGTATACATGGGTATACAGGGTATACAAGGTATACGTGGGTATACATGGGTATACAGGGTATACAGGGAGATAAACAGTCTATTACTATTACATGAAGGATATATCTATTTGGCGTAAGCGTAACATGAAAGAATAACCGTTTGCAAGTGAGTTGGAGAAGAAGGAAAATAAGAAAAATGTAGATCTTGGCTTTTTCTGCAGTCCTCTTTGGTTTCTAGGTTTCTATTGGTGCAAACTTTTTTATAGTTATGGAGTTTGTGGAGTATATCAAATCACCAAAAATCGACAAGGTTTCTCTACGGCGCAGAGGGCAGGCGTACCTCGAAGGAACGCTGTGTGTCACCGGCCATCACTTGATCTTTTCTTCCAGAACGGACCACAAGGATGAGCTCATTGTGAGTAGTGTGATTATATTAATTTATTGTTTTGTGTCATTTCTTTTCTATATCTTAATGTTGACAACGTAATTACAGACAGCCCTTACACGCCCGTTCGGTCTGCCTATTCATTGGAAATGGATGACGTGTAAATATTAATTCATTAGTTGTGTAAACAAAACAATGTACTATGCCCTGGTGGCTTTCAGGGTAGTGGGGTTGACTAGTCTGTCAGCCCGTCAATAGACCAGTTTCAATATATTAAAGTTTTCGTTTGGCTTTGATACTAGGGGTAATAAAACAAAAGAAATGAATCTTTAAAAAAATAATTTTAAATGAATTGAAAATTAAAGCTATTTCTTTTCTTTATTCCCTCAAACCTTAGAGTCAGATATGAATTTTAATATATTATTTGAAATAAAATTGGTTCATCAGGACAACTAAACATGACCTAAACAGGTCCCAGTTTTCTACTAAGAAGTAAACTGCCCCAGAAGTAGAACTAACAAAAACAGTGTGCACACAGGGACCTGTTGCCCACTTTTGTGCCTGAGTACATTGGTCCTGACCTTGTACTTCCAAGGGCACCAGCACCGTGCCCAAATTCTGGGATGGGTATTTTAAAAAATTGTGTATTTACATTAGAGCCCAGTGAGTATCATACTCGGGCATCAAGTGCGAATACTGCCTTAGTAAACATGATTAGTTAACAATAATTGTTGAATAATTATTATTCCATGAGCATGCATTGGAAATGAATTGGCTATAATCATCTCATATCCAACATGTCCAAGTGCGAGTGGAATAATTGTTTTATTAAAAACACTAACAGGCAGCACTATTACACTGTTACTTTTATTAATTTGTAAAGAGGAACCGAAAAGCACAAAGGCCTTCCGTTTTTCACGTGTCACACATTTGTGTTCGCGTGCTGTTCTAGCTGAAAGACTAAAAAAACTAAATTCATAGATCAGGATTCTTGCCAGTTTACTGTGCCCGACAACTAAAACTACTGCTGATAAAATACTGCTGTTTAGAATTTTACCGCCAAAGTTGTTGTGAATTTAAATGATGATGCATTACAAAAGTTAAACTGCAGAAGAAAAAGATTCCGTCGATTGCCATGTACAACACTTGTGAAAAGCGTGACATTTGTTTGAAGTCACCACGCCGGTTTTGCTGAATGAGAACAGATGCTACTGGTAACTTTATAGGTGTGGTGGATAGCTTAGTGGCCTTTGGTTGCATCTGTTAGCTAGAGTCAGATCTTTTCAGCCAAACAAGTTGCATAATTATGTATTTTGCTGATTTCGGCGAGTGGCTTTGTGATCGTGAAGAAATGTACACGTTCTTGTTAGTTGAGATAATTTCATGCCATGCTTTTTAATTTTGTGGCTGTCTATGTTTTCCAAGGGTTGCATTCTATAGCAGGTTTTAAAAATATCTTATATCTATGCCACAAATGACTTCCTTCAGTGTTTGTATCCACCGCGAGAAAAAACATACAAACTGAAAAAGTCTTTTGCTGGCGCAAGGATGCTTTCATTTACCATATATGGTCACAGCATGGTTATGAGCTGATAATCCTGCTCCGTTGGGTGAATCAGAATGCAGGAAATGCAGTAACGATCGTCCAGTGTATAATAATACTTATTATCATGCCATTTAAAAGAAGAGTTGTCTTACTAAAGTATGTTATTCACAGCTCTTGCACTCAGCAGTGGAACATGTTGAGAAGAAAGCAAGAGGTCAAGAAGGGATACTCACACTTTTTTGTAAGAACTTTGACTTGGTGAAACTAAAGTTCAACAGCATTGAAGAAGCACTGAATGTAGCATCATCGGTTGAAGTTCTGTCAACCATTGGTAAGAAAAAAAGCCATTATTATTATTATAATAATAACTTACATTATTATCCATTCAAAATATTTCTCCATTTCTGATTGGCTAAAATCATATACATAATTTATCATAACCAGGTTCTGTCTACTAAATTTGCACTTGAAAATTTCTACAATATGTGAAAAGTGATGTCAATTGTGCAGGAAAATTACCAGATTATTGAACAGTTAACTGAGAAGTATGTTTTAGCTTGCTTTTAAACTAGGAATTATTTTGAATGAATAATGAAACAATTATTGAATTCGGTTTTCGTGTCATCTGAAAAATTATGGAGATTTTGGAGGATGTTATCTGCCGAGGCCAAGTCGGCCTCATGTCCTTCATTCTTCAGATGATAGTCAGCCTTATTCAATAATGTTATTGCTAAATATTACATTCTAGTTCTTTTTTTCACATTATCCTTAGTCAGCATGTTTAATGTAGTTTTTGTTTGTATGTTTCTTTTATCAAAGTGATTTCTTTTTTTTTTACTTAGGAAACACAAACTTGAGGTATCCTTTCTTCTATCGTCATCTGAAACCTCTTGAAGAAGATGGGTGGGACTTGTTTAGTTTAGAAATGGAATTCTCTCATTTGTGCTCTTTAACTCAACAATGGAGAATAAGCCATGCCAATAGTAATTATGAGGTACATTTCTAATATATTATTGCAACAGACTGAGTGTTTTCATATCAACATTATCATTTTCATCACCATCATCGTCATCACCATCATCATCCTAATCATCATTGTTCTATTGATTCTATTGATCATCATCATCATCATGTAATCATCATTATCATTGTTCTATTGATTATTGTTCAGCTACAATTGTGACTCCAGAATATATGACTGAGGTTCAGCTTTGTGTCCCATGATGATGTGATTTCTTACATTACATTTGTAGATCGTATACAATAAGGAAGGCATGGTTGAAATTTTCAAAAACTCATAACTACAACTTGCATTATCCTTGAATGTCTTTCAAGCCAAATAATGCCTGGTCTTAATTTTGTTACTAACTTAATTAGTTAACAGCTAGCTATAGTTTGCTTCTATTTTATTTTATAATGAATGTAATATTAGTTGAAGGAAATATTTTTTTTAATGTTAGGTTACCTGTCCACCTACTAATAAATTAGCAATTGTTGCTGCAAAGAAAAGGGTAAAAACTATAGCCTCACCCTCTCCACCATTATATTTCTAAGAGTGAAGTTTTTTTCTTTTTTGTGTTTAGCTATGTCCCAGCTATCCAGCCAGTGTTATAGTACCAGTTAAAATTTCTGATGATACATTAAAAGCATCAGCACAGTTCAGACAATTTGGCAGGTTTCCTATTTTAAGCTACTATCACAAGAAAAATGGGGTAAGAATTAATATTTTAATAATAATTGTTATTAATGCAATATCATCCTTTACAATCAAAAACTATTGAGAGTGATTTTTAGAATAATAGTTACAGATTAAAATCATTCTTGATAGTCTCTTATTAAGGACAGTAAGGGGTTGCATGTAGCTGTATTCCTTTGCTGCTTGTGTTGAAGTATGTTGGACTGTCTGCTGAACAAGAAATATTTCTATTGAATGTATTACTGATATACCATCATATCCTATTTCTTTCCAAGTAATACTGGTATTTTATAGGTGAAAACTTGAATGTTTTTTTTTGTAAAAGGTCTGTTAAAATGTTGCAGGTCGTTATGATGCGATGTGCCCAGCCATTAACAACCATGGCATCTAAAAGAAGTCGTGAAGATGAAAAATTAGTTAATGCCACTCTTGGAAGTGATTCTAAAGGGATAATTATTGATACAAGATCACAAACAGCTGCTATGAACAGTAGAACAAAAGGTAAATGAAAAAAGTCATGCATTCCGTGATCAGCTTGCTCACCTCATCCTTATGCAATTCTTGCAAATTTTGTAAACAAGAGAGAGAGTAGTGAAAACTGCAATGAATGCAAAAATTTGTCAAACTTGCAAAGAATTGAAAATTATATTTTGCAGCTGCATGCAAACCTACAGGTACATTTTTGTAAGTGCTCATCCTGCTGTCACATGTTTGACTCACTTTCATATTTCAACCTTATCCAAGTGAAGTGATTTAAAGGTCTCATATCATGTTGCTTAACATAGGTGAGAACAAAGATGACAATGATTTCCACCTTATTCTTTCTTTGTGCAAGCCTTTAATAAATCCATCGCTGGCTTTCATTCAGTTTTCATTGTTATAAAAACAAGTTTGAAATGTGGATGCTAAAATGTTGTGAAATGTCAGTTTATATGAAATTCATGTTAACCCATATAAAGTCAATATATACTGCATATTAATTAGTGTTATTTTATTCCATGTAAAGTTAACACTAGCTCCATTAAATATGGTTCCGTGTGTAGATAATCAGTATTTGTGTGGTGTTTTTGTATGACATCAATTTGAACTAGTCTTATTTGCTTTCAATCTATGTAGGTGGAGGTGTTGAACCAGAATCACATTATCCTCAGTGGAAAAGAGAATATCAAAATATTGAACGATATACAGCACTTAATGATAGTATTGCAAAACTAGCAGAAGGTACATGTATAACATACAGTATATCTTTTTTACAATGATTTGCAAAGGCTTATGCCGTTGCATGAATTTATTGCTTACAAAAAAAAATATTATCCTGCATGCTGTGTGAAGATACAAATCAATAGTAACCAAATTATAAACAAAAAATCCTTTCAGGGTGCAAAGAAAATCGTTTTTACAACTTGCCATTCGGGCAAGCTGAAGGTAGCATTTACTAGCCCAGACATCATTTTAACTAGCCCCAAAACTTTTTGACGAGCAAAAATGATTTCACAGTTCTTCTGCTATTCCAGTTCCTCAAAAAACATCACTTGCCCATTGGGCAAACAGAATTCACTAGCCCGATAGCAAATCTACAAGCCCCAGGCTATCGGACAGTACTTTCTTTTGCCCGTTGCCTTTACATTCCCCTTAAAGAAATAAGTATGCATGCAAGCCCCAAATTTTTCACGGTCATATGTTTTGTGACTGTGGATATTTGATAACTTCCTAAAGTTAGTGACATTGCTCTTATTTACATCAATTTTATTCTTTTTGTCTATACAGCAAGTCTAGATCCCAAGCTAAGCATGACCTCATGGCTGTCTAAACTGGAGTCAAGTTCATGGCTTGATTATGTTCAAAGCATTTTATCCACAGCTTGTCATGTTGCTAAATGTTTGGACAAAAACGGTAACAGCGCATTTTACAGTATGATAATTTTACAACCAAGAGAAAGTATTTTACAGTGTATAGTATAATATTTGTGAAGGGGACTGCACAGCTGTACTTCATTGGGTCATAAAAAACTTATGTTTGATTTTCTTTCTTCAGTTAGCAAATGACAAAAAAGAAAATTTTCAACTATAATAAACAGAAAAAAGATTTTTATGTTAGCACCAAGAGTGCCAATGTGGGAAGCTATTGTATTAGTTTCTTGCATTAATACCTAGCATATATTTTGCACTAATGCTTTATTATGGAATAGTCGCCCTCACTTAATGAGTAAAATTAATATTATTGTACATGAGGTTTTTTTTATGGTTATTATCTTTGCAAGGTTCTAAATTTATATTATCTGTGTTAGGAACAACTGTCTTAGTTCATGGTGATGCTGGTACAGATGCCACCTTACAAGTCACATCTTTAGTGCAGATTTTGTTAGATCCTGTTTGCAGGACAATTAAAGGGTAAGAATTATCTGTCAGATTTTAACTATATTGCGCATTATGATTTCTGTTTGGTGTACAGTTGATACCTGTCTAAATTCTTCTCTCGTAAAGTGCACTGATCATTGCTAAGCCTGACTTGTGTCCAGTCAACTCTCAGTCAAAGAAAAAAGAGGGGGGTCTCTCCCTTTTGTTTTCCTCCTTCCCATCACCCCTTGCACTCCCATCAGTCACTCTTCTCGCTTTCCTTCCTCCACGTGCGATCCAAATAGAGGAGACTCGGGACAAGTCAGATTGCTAAGCTGTGTGCTGCAGATTTTCTTTCTGTTTTTTGTATGTCACTCAACAGTAAGTTTAAAATATTTGTAATGGAGAAGGCCAACCTCGTTCCCAGGGTTCTCTCCTACCCGCCCCCATGGAGCGGGTAGGAGAGAACCCTGGGAACGAGGTTGGGAGAAGGCCAGTGCTAGTTCCGGATTCAATTAAATAAAACTTTTTCAAGTGTGATTTCAAAGTGTGGCTGTTGTTTTCAATCTCTAAAACAATAGCTACACTAAAGGTAGGATTTAAAAGTTTTAATGAATTAACGGCTGGGAGTGAGAGCTGATTGTAAGAAAGCATTTCTTTGTACTCTGAAAGTTACCCATGTATAAACCTTAATGAGAATTTCACTTTTAATCAAAACTCTCCAGCCAGATCACTCAAATCCTAAATTAGTATGCCCCAAGGAGATGGTTTTTCAGCAAAAACTCTTGGAAAAAGCTTATTTCATTGTCAAAATGATTGGTCCGGTAATTGTCTGGCCGGCCAGTTCTGACTTTTGGAAAGCACTTCATCCTACCACGGCGCATGCTACTTGCTGCCTAGTTGTGGGCTCCAAGCGCTTCGTTTCACGGGGAAAATCAAATATTATTCATTCACTATTGACAGATTTGAGGGTCTAATTGATAGAGAATGGTTACGTGGTGGCCATCCGTTTACTGAGCGCTGTATTAAAGTAGGTGTATCTCCAGTTCGCTACAAAGGCCAGGGTGCAGTGTTCCTTCTGTTCCTAGACTGTGTGTGGCAGGTTAGTGTTGAGAACAAAAACCATGAAACAATACCAAGCAGATTTTTCCCTGAACAGGAAATAAAGGCGTCTTTTGATTTCCGTCATCTGAGTCTGGTACACGAAGTTTTGACCGCCTTTTCTGAGTCGCCACTAAAGGCCTCTTTTTGAAAACGATCCAGTAAGAGCGAAGTCTTTCTACAAAAATAATCTTTAGTTATTACGCAAATAAAACTCCCTTAAGTAATAAGTGATGCACTTAGCCTCTTTTTGAAAGTGAAGGTTTTGAAAATTCGGCATATTTGCAGCCGTAAAGAAAATTAAAACCTGACGTTATGAGTGCTTTTCTTCCGTCTCAGCGAAGACGAAGGACTTTGATGAAGGCTTGGTGCCCAAAACGTCAATTTGTGATAATCTCTGTGATGGCAATTTTTTTCTTTAGTTAGGTTGATAAAGCCAGTGATTTGTGTATTCCATACGTGTATACATGTAGCAAGCTCAGTACTGGTAAAAGGTTACAGTCGCGTCAATATCAAATACATATCCCTCAAGGCACACTGGGCAGTGGCTTCGTCATAGTTGATAAAGCCAGTGATTTGTGTATTCCATACGTGTATACATGTAGCAAGCTCAGTACTGGTAAAAGGTTACAGTCGCGTCAATATCAAATACATATCCCTCAAGGCACACTGGGCAGTGGCTTCGTCATTTAATGTTTTTCATTTTTGTCAACAGATATACCAACAGTTCCCATGCTCATTTGAGTTTAATGATCGTTTTCTCATAACTTTGTTCGAGCATGCGTACTCTTCCCAATTCGGTAAGATATCTGTGGACTTTCCTGCTTATGTAGTATTCGTAGAATTTTTGTGTTTAGAAACAGCTGTTTTCGTCTGTGGCCTTGCACCCCTAACATGGAACTGAGGATTCTTTTCTTAGAAAGTCTACATGAAATCCGGCATTTTCTTCGTACACTAAAACGTTATACTGAAAGTTTTTTTAAGTGCCAGCCGTCCCGTCCAGGGAGGGCTCCGCAGTATTCCCAGTGCCGGCTGTTCAAAACTTGGATATCGCTATACACCGGATAAATCACTGTCAATTGGATAGCGCATGCAATTGGTTTCCCTAATACTTATCCATTGGATAGTGATTTATCCGGCGGATAGCGCCATCCACCTTTTAACAACTGGGGCCTGGAATGTACATTCTAAAGGCCGATTTACACGGTACAATTTTTTCGCGTGCGATGTGTTTATGATAGACCTACAACCCAAATCGTACCCAGTAAATCAAAGTTGCGATAGTCGCAAGTCTGTTGCAAGTAAGATTTTCACGATACAACCCGTGTCGTATAGGATTATCGTAAGAACATAGCTTGCGAAGAAGTTGTGCCGTGTAATCAATGCTTAAACATTGCACAGTTGGTCATTTCTATTTTTCTCCTTTTCAGGCACCTTTCTTTGTAATAACGAATGCGAGCGTGTAGCAGCTAAACTTAAAACAATGACAGTGTCTCTGTGGTGAGGCTTGTGCAATTTTATTTTTAAATACTACTGAATGTAGCTAATGTTTTCTTTTCTATTAATGAAGTTTTTACAAATCTCACTTTTCAGGTCATATCTAAATCAAGCAGATATCCTTAAACCGCTGTTAAATCCAATGTATGAACCAAACAGCTCTGTTCTCTGGCCTTCTGTGGCATCGCAAAGTCTTGTAAGTTCATAAAGAACCTCGCTTCTACTTGCCATGTGGCTGAAGATGATTTTTGGGGAAAAAGTTTGGAAATTACCGGCGCCTATTTACGAATTTCCCACAGGTCGCTATTTAAAATTTTTGTGACTTCATTTGTGGTGGTGTGAAGAATTTGATCTTTAACAACCGCTGCCCCAAACTTTCGTCGTCGAATTTTAAAAAGGATGACGCAAATTTTGTGACATTTCTAAAATAAGGAAACGGACGGTTTTTATTATTTCATGGATGCGTTTAATGGCTGTACATAACATTCTGATGTTGTTACCTTGTCCTTGTAGGTATTGTGGCCAAGCTTGTTTCTTAAATGGAAAGAATCTAACAAGAATGAGGATATTTTATGGGAAGAAGTGCGCAGAATACAGGAAATAAATACGGATTTAAAAAGTAAAGCTATATCTCTTAGAAGGTAAAGGAAGACATCTCAGTCCTATAGGGTGCAAGGAAAGCAGTTTCAAATAAGTACAGTTGAGGCTCTTGTAGGTTTCCCTAACTGGAGTTGATCCCGGGCTCCGATCTTTAATCGCCCTTAAGTGTATTCACCAGTAATCGTCGTATGCGCTCCCCTCCGTGCAAATCTTCTAGAAAATGGCCCCGGGGAATTCCCTTACACTTTTTGTGCCAAACATGACCTCGCGTTAGTCCCCGTGGGAACGAAAATTACCTCCTAAATACGTTGAAAACACTTTTAGGCTATCCAGAATAGTTTTGAATCTCTAGAAATGCATTCTAAGGGAGGCAAAAAAACTTGGTTTCTGTTCGGTCATTGTAAGGGAATTTTAGTCTTTTCGAAATTACAAGCAGGGGCACCCAACGGGAAATTTTGAGAAAAAGACCTAAAAACAACAACAAAGCATTAATAAAGCTTTCGAAGCCATTTTAAGCATTTTGGGAGATGGCTGGGAAAAATTATCTGTTCCTCACTCTCAGTAAGACTTGTGGAAGAGTTTCCAGCCAGCAAGATGTACCTACCACCTGCAACCTGACTTACGGGAAAGATTCTCAGCAGACGTTTGTCCAGACATTAATGGCCAGTTTGGGTGTGGTCATAGGGCAATATTCAGACCTTCAGTGGGGGAGGGGAGCATTGCGGTTGGACAATGGGTGTGGGGGGGGGGGGGGGGAGGTTTCTGTCAAATAACACATAGCAGCTATTCTAGACGTCAAATACCCTCAGATACCCCGAATATTCTTTTTCCCAGGAACAGTTTCCTTCCAAGGACATTTCATTACTTCCACATCTCCCAACCAGCAAAAAATTGCCAGAAGAACAGATATTTTGAGTAACAAATCCATTGGGTGTCCCTGTACAAGGGCTTCAGTATTATTTTCTCGAAGAGTTTAGTCACAATTTAGCGTTTTACGAATGTGAGAATTTTTCTGGAATGGTATGGAACGGTCAATAGAAAAGTTTAGGCAATATCTGCTCCTCCGGACACAAATTTTACAGAAAACAGTCGTCGGGTGGCCCTGCTCAATCCGGATTTTGTCTACGGAGATGACTGTGCGTATGAGGTGTCCGTTATGAAGAAAGGTTTAATTTCCAAAGAAACTGCAGTGTTTTGTCGGTGGGGGAGTGGGAAGATTGAAGCCGTTCTTCTGAGCGAGTCTCGCGAATCTCTGATGAAGGGCAAGCGCTCGAAAGTTAGCCTGTGAAACTGGCGGTTAGTTTAACGATGAGCGGCGAAGCCAAAAAAAATACGTTTCCTCCGGCGGCCAATCTAAGTTATTTTCTCAACTCAACACCAGCCAAATCTTTGTCCGTTATGTAAGCTTTACCTGTAGTTAGTTTTTCTTTTTTTTCCGAGAAGATTGGAAGTCAAATGTTGATTTCCTTGCCTGGGGAAAACGTCACTATCCCTATAAAATCTTATGTTATTTTGTTCTCTCAGGGAATACGCCGAACTACAGGCCAAAGTATTTGAAGAAAGACGAAAATGGCAAGAAGAACAAGACCAGAGAGAAAAACAACGAACTTGAAACTGAAGTTGTGTCAAGATTATTTCACTTTGTTTATAGGAATTATTTCTTCTTTGCCGGCAGTAGTCATTACAGATTCTGCGTTAGTTAAGTGCGGCGGTTACCATTTTTATAACAGTGGGGTAGAAAACAGTCTCTTTACTTAAGCGAGAGTTTATGTCAGAGCGGAGAGCGGATACAGCTAGGATCTAACCTCTACGTATTGATCATAGTAGTGTCGCATGTTATCTTCTACGCAGCCGTTATTTCGGTAGTCAGGAGTATTATGTGGCAACCCAAATATCACACAGCTTGGGAAAAGACGTAGTATGAGTAGTACAATGGATCTTATTTTTGATATGGCTATAATCATACCGGCGCTATTTTAAGGTGTTAGAAAATATAAAATTGCATTTTAAAGATAGTTACTTTAGCGTCGAAACGAACTTAGCATGTACCAAATCAATTGCAAACTGAGTGAGAACATAAGACCACGTGGGCATTAGACCACGTTTTCTGTAGATATTTTTCTATACGACAAGTACAGACTGAAATTTACTATGCAATGTGTGAACTGCGATCTCAAAAATATGCTCGCTGAGTAAATGGATTCCACTGAACAAACAAAACTCTGTCTCTTTATATTCCGGGGTTTCACCGCCATGCCAAAAGAAAAGACTACTATTTGAGAAATCAGCTGTGCTCATGTAAGTTAACTTGAACAAAAAATAAAATTAATTTCGAGACACACGCAAATCGTTATTGCTGATAACGCACGTTGTTTAACTGAGCGCGAAGCGGGAGACCCAGCCTGGCGCAAAGCGCGAGACTGGAGGAGGGGAGGGGGCGGGGGTGTTGTGCTTTATTTACAAGGGATAGTTTATTTTTTCTGTTCGTCTTGCTTTCCGCTGCGCCTAGCTTAACAACGTACGGTTCAATCAGCTTTCGTAGAAGAAGAAAAATATATTTATGTAGGAATAATTTTATGGATAATAAAGTTATTGCGATAGATAACAGATCAAACAATAAAATAACTGATATCATAGAGACTTTTGTTCTTGGGCCATCGATGGTAGTTTAATTAAAACACAAACAGCGGTGATAAACATTGTGAGCTCTCGCATTTTTATGTAAACTTGACGTTTCGTTTGCAAGTCAACATACATTTTCAAAAGTGATCTTAAATGACCGTTAGAGATGATGACGAAACTATTTATACAGAAAATTTACAAGGTGTCAAAAGGTGGCCGGAATTGAGATTAAGAATTCAAAATTCTTGACAGAAGCGAATACAAAAGGGACAGGTAATAAAGCTGGCTTAAGGTCTTGTATAGACCATGTTTCTTTTATCTTACCATGATAATCTGACATGAAACAGCTTCATCTTTGTTATTATTTATTTATTTATTTATTTGTTTACTATTTGAGTGACTCGTGACAAGAGCGTTGCTGTTTTGAAATTGTTTGTTTGTCTTTGGCCTTAAGTTGTGGACACTTGAATCCAGAGCTTACGCATTTGTTTTCTGGCAAAAAAATATCACCACCACGGTAGGAACTACTGTACAGTAGAGACCTGCTTGAGTTAACAACCTTTCCCCTTAATTTTCATTTGCACTATTCAGCATGTTCAAAATGGCTGCAAGACCAGCTCGTCTTGGATCAGGGATGATATCTAGCGAGTTTTCAGTTGAAGTTTTCCCATATACTCTCGAACACTGCTAACATTGCACCATTGCTCAGGGATGGATATTGCGTGACCGATAGATTGCCGAGAAGTACGAAATAGGAATGGGGCGAGAGAGGTAATGCTGGTCACGCAATGGTAATGGAAAGTAGGGAAGATTGGGAAAGATGACAAATCATATAAAGACTTGAGAAGGCTCTCTCTTTCCATTAGTAACCCTATGATAATGGCCTCTGTGACATTAACAAACCGGTAAGTGTACAGTTTCCTCGAGGCCTTAACAAAACTGTGAAAGGTTGGCATTTATGTTCGCAAAGTTACTTGCTTTGACTGCCTCGGAATCAGAGTCATACAAAGCATTTTAAATAATCAGTGAATAAGATAATTTATTTTACTGTCTTGAAATTTGCTGCACATGAGGATTTCAACCTTCTTCAACCCACGTGAAACATTTGGAGCCCTTTGTCTCCCCTGTCATCAACACACCTCACCTCTAATCAATAAACAAATCTTCCTTTTGCTTGTTGATGAAATAGTTGCGGCAGGGGCGGGGGAGAGCTAAAGCCACCTTCTTAGTTTTGTTAGTTTTGCTACTAGCCCCCCCGCCCCCATGTCTCAGGATATCCCCACTTGTCCACCCAAATGATCCCAGAAATCTCTTCACCCAAAGCTTGTACCCATTCTTCCTAGAGGTTCTGAAGTGGCAAAATTTGGTTTAGCATTCCCCACCCCCACACCAACCATAACTGAATAGCCCAGTGAACCAAGTGTTGGAGGATTCAACCATACTAAAATTATTATTTCTGTCAATAACTGCAGGGAATTAAAGAACAAGGCTACTGGTATTGATATCCGTGTACCGCAGCATGAACATATTTCTGGCCCACTCGGTGGAAATGTCTTGTACCACGTGATTGTTGTGACACGGTTGTTCTACTTCAAAACTCCAGGTAAACACAAGGAGTCTGATGTTGTCCAGTTCATGGTAAGTAGACAGTGTATAGACTGGTTATCTTTGAAATTAAAAGTAGCTGAAGTCTTTCTCAACTCCCAGGCAAGCTGTTAACTAGTTCTAAAGCCAAGTTTCCAAAAACTGTGTCTGGCAGCCAATAAGAAGTCAAGATTCCCACTTGACTTAGAACTTTTCATTGTTTTGGGAAGTTAATTTTACTAATGTTAGGGTTCAATTCTCCAGACCTGTAAAAAGTCTGGAAAATAGAGATATGCTGGAAAAACAATAAAAAGTCTTTTTTTCAAAGCTACAACAAGTGCTACATAACTGAATATTTTTTCATTTTCGTCAAAGCTTTGTTCAATTTTGCCTACACCTTTACAGTCCATCAGGAAAAAAGATTTGTTCTTGTTTTTTTTAAAGTCTCTTTATCACCTATTTGGTAACCTCAAGTCTGGAAAAAGAAATTGTGGTTTTCAAAAAAAAGTCTTGAATTTTGGATCCAAAAATCTATATGAACTATGTAACATGATTACAGTCAAACCACCAGTAACTGACTATCTAATGTCTTACTGAGAAAATTTTGATGTTTTAGGTATAGGTTAGGTTCCATATGCATGAGGTTGCTGTCAACTGAAGTGACTTCAACTTAAAATAAACAATTATAGATATTAACCAACTGTCTGTTATTGTTTATTCTAGATTCCACAAAAATATGAGGTTTTTGAAGACCTTTGTGCTAAACTCTCACAGAAGTTTCCCAGTGTTGTATTTTCTTCTCCACCAAAGAAGACATTTTTAGTCAGTGACTCAGTAATCTCAGATCGTCGCCGCTATATGGAGGATGTTCTTCAACAGATAGCCAGGACTCCAAAACTAGCTTGTAGCTCTTTGGTTTTGGAATTTCTTGGAGCAAAAAGAGGGCATAAGGATGTAAACCGACTTGAAATAACCCAGACAAAGAAAGTAATGAATAGCAAACAAAAATTAAACTTGTAACTGTGAAAGTGTCTGTACACAGGCTACCCATTATTATTACCTTTAAGCCAGAAGACCCAGAACTTGAAAGAAAGTATCAAGTGAAAGCACCCAATACAGCTTTTTAGTGGAGCAAATCACATGCAAGTGGAGCCCCATAGCTAAGAAAATTTGGTTGTCTATCCATCCGATAAATTTTGGTAGTCTCATGACCGTCTGTCCAGCCATCCCACATCCGTCCATACCACAGGGCACCCGATGTGCAATCTCTCACTTTCTAGCTTTTTGTGGGATCCTGTAACCTGATATTGCACATTCATGTTGTGGTCGTTTGATAGCTGTCAAAACAGAATATCCACTGACCAGTATCACATGACCATATTGCAGGCTCAGGTATTGGCCTATCAAGGTTACGTGTTTTTTGAAGTTATCTGTTGCCAAGTCACTAGTGTTCAACTACATGTAATCACAGGCTGAACTCCAAGTGGATTTCTTTGTAATGGTTACGATGGTTACATGGTTGTTTGAAGTAAATTATAAATAATCTTATGTACAGGAACTTTTCCTTTAGCCTTGGCTAAATCTCTATATTATTATTGAAATTCTGCTTAGGATCCAAAGGCAGAGGAAGAAGAATCTTCAGAACAGAAACCTGTCAAAGAAGAGGAAGTGGAAGATGTAGACTTGTTTGCCAAAACAGATGAAACAGATGTAGCCCAAAACAATGGCAATGAAGAGGAAGAAGAGGAAGACTTATTTGCAACAGCTAAGGGCTCATCTGAGGCACAAATGACTGGTTTCTCAATCTTCGACAACAATGACAAAGAAGATATTGATGATGAAGATATCAATAAACTATTTATTCCTGCAGGTGCGGATGAAAATAAGATCAGCCTTGAAATAGAAGACAATTCGCAGCTTCTCAAGTGAGTTTTAACTAGTTTGGTGAGTAGGTGTGTTTTTGGAAAAGAACGTTTGATCATAATTAGTATTTTGTGACAAAAGGGTCAAACCACAGAACTTTTTCCGTTTTTCATAACTTAACGTAACATAGCGTAAGAAAAAACGTAACGTAACGAAATCTAATGTTACATATCACAACATAACCCAACGTCACCGAACGAAACGTGACTTGATGTAACGTAGTTGATGTATTTACCTACAATATGATTTATTTTCACGCTAAGGAGCATTTTGCATACTCGTTTTAAAAGCGGGTGTCCGTAAAGCTGGGTTTGACTTTACCTTAGTTTTACTGGAAAGTAAATTCAATGAACACTCTCCTAGACTGAGCCAATAGGCCCATTTATACGAGGAAAAATAAGACGCGTCTTACATAAGACGCGTCTTCTTAAATAAGACGCGAACTTTCCGTATAAATGGCACATTTCGTCTAAAATAAGACGTGGCTTAGCTAAGACGCGTCTTATTAGATAGGACATACTCGTATAAATGGTACAGTTGGCGTATTATTTAAGACGCGTCTTATGTAAGACGCGTCTTATTTTTCCTCGTATAAATGGCCCTATTGTTTCGGTCTTCTCTCGACGCCCTCCGCCACGCAGAGTTGAGTCTTAGCTGTGCTGAGAAGTTGTGTATAGGAGAGTCTCAGCGAGGAGTATAATTTCATAGTCTAAGTAAAAGCTCTCCTTAATATATATGTATTTGTTTACAGCATCGAGGATGACTTGGACAAGCTACTGACTACAAAAAGCAAGCCTGCAAAGCCAGCTAAACCGGCTAAACCAGAAAAACCCGTAGCAAAACCACGACTTAAGCCGAAACCAGATCTGAAGCCAAAGCCGACTCCTAAACCCAGGTTTGCGGAGGCGGGAGCTGGCGAGGAGGAACTGTTTGGTGGAGGAGTTCCTACTGCTAAGCCAAGAAAGCCGGGGAAACCGCCAGTTCCGAAGAAAAAAGCGACGGGTGGAGATGAAGATCTGTTTGTGCAAGCAAGAAAGCAGTCTTTCAATAGGTTTGTTTCGATGACTTTTTTTTT